CCCACCGGACTCGCAGTCTCGCGAGAACGGCGAGCCGCTTTTTAAGCGCCGCGAAGGCTAGGCCTCAGCCTTTCCGTGTGGGCGCGCTGGGCGCACGCGGTAGGTGGTGCGGGGCTGGGTGTAGCATCTCCGGCCTAGCCTGGCAGCGCGCCCTGGGGGTCACGTCGCGCCCCACCCCCCAGGTGTCGCGGGGGTGCGCTGGGAGGCTTCATCGGGATCCGCGTGCCCCCAGCACCGGCCCCGGCCTGCCCACGGAGGTGGAAGCCCAAAGCTGGGCCTGCCTGAGGACCCGGCCGCCTTGTGCCCCCAGGGGGGGGAGGCAGGGGGAGAGATGCACCTTTCTGGAGGCGCTACGTCGGCTGGGTTTGTTCTGGGTAGGAGCTTTGATGACCCGAGGTTCAGGATCTCTCACGGTGTGGAAGAGCTGCTTTCACGTTTTTTCTTTAGCCCTCTTTAAAAACGTATTTAAGTTTTGTTTTTTTTAGTAATGCATTTCTCTCTAATGCTGAGATGCTGCCCTTCCCCACGTGGGATTTGTTACAGGTTGTGAGGTGCTTTGAGATGCTTTACTCATCAGTAAGCTGGTCACTTGACAAGAAACTGAATGGCTGCCTTTATTGTGGTGCCAGTGCTGTCAGGTGTAGCAGTGATGGTCCAGCAATTATGCAAAATGCAGAACTTATCAGAATGAAGACTGCTTTTGTTGGAGCAGGTCTGCATGTCGGATAAAGTTGGAAAAGCTCCTGAGTGGAAGATTTTTCCTTGGGTGCCCATGAAGTGGTTCTGAGGAAGAATTGCATGTTCAAAAGCTTGTTCCACTTTAGCCCAACTACACAGTCCAGTAAAGAAATCCTTTTCAGTGTGAAAGAACTGGGTCAAAGATTAAAGTTCATTTCCAGTTAGCATTAAGATGTCCTTCCCTGTTTGAACAGCAGGGATTGGCAGCAAGTATTCTTCATAAGCTTGAACTACATTGTGGCTTAGAAGCTAGCCTGTTCATGGTTCAGGTTTATACAAGGAGTATAAACTACAATGCTGAAATAAGGCCTTTGCTTTCACTAGGTAGATATCCTCTTAAAATGTAAGCGGGTAGTTTTATGTTGCTTTGGTTTTCTTCTAGAAATTTGTATTTTAAATCTTTTAAGGCAGCATGATTATGGGTTTCTCTTTTTTTGCAGAGAAATGGTCACATCTGAAGATTTACCAAGGCACTTCATTCAAAATGTAAGACTGCTCCTCTGCCAGAAGGTAACGGAGTCTGATGGAATGAGAATTGGCCATTTGCTTTGATTGTGACTTGGCAGTAATTGATGTTTCATTAATAAAAGCACTTTTTTTTTTTTTTAAATTTGCAAGAACGAATACCTTGTGGAAAGAGGTTATGTTGGGTAACAAAAATCCCCTTCAGCTTTGCCCTCTTAAGGCTGGCTGTGTCTTAAGTGGCCAACACAGAGGGGTATAGTAATCCTCTCTGAAACCCGGAGGTGAGCTTTAAAACTCTGCTCTGGATCCTGTCTGGAGGGACAAATATATGAAATCCATTAAACACTCCAGTTCTAGATGTTAGTAATTGAAGATGGGGAAATTTGCTGTGGGGGCTTATTATCTTAAGGCTTGCTGGCTTGAACTGTTAATGTTACCATATTTATTGGTCTTTTGCTTTAGTGTGTGACTTAAGATCACGTTAAGTTTCTCTTTATTTCAGAATTGTCAAGAAAGTGTCTGCGTTCATTAGATGCTGCAGTGCGCTTCACGGGGTTTGTAGGATGGTTGACAGGAGAAAACTGCTGTCCATAGATGATGAATTTCTGGGTATGTAATGTGAATATGAGCATGTCATTTCCCCTGAATGATGACTTGGGCTAACTGTATTGCTTTTAACTTTTTTTTTTTGTGTAGTCCTCAATGTTTCAGAAGTCTTGTTTTTGAATAAATTTATTCTTTAAAACGGTGTCCCTGTTCTGCTTCTTTTCAGACATATGGTTAGTTGGATTTTTATATTAATGTTTCTCTTCACATTTCTTCATGCATCTTCTCTTTCCATATAACAGATGACAAATGTGCATATAGAGGTTCTAGTAGAAATGGACCTGAGACTCTTAATAGTATCAAAGCATTCTAATAACAGAAGCACTAGGAGAGAATTCAGATTTTAGATCTGGAAACCTACTAAAATACCTATTGGATGAAGGCTTAAGTTTAAGCAACCTCCTTCAACTCCCCGAACATTTAAAGACCAATAGACCACCTGCAGAGTTGCTAGCTCAGAAATCCCTATTTTATACTGCAATTCCTTAACTTTCCATGGGTAGTGCTGTTGCTCAATAGAAATTGAGTCCTGGAGCAGGGATGGATAATCTGGCATAGGCAGCACAGCAGTGTATTGGCAGTGGAGGGAGGGCCAGGTGGCACTCAGGAGGGTATGGGGCTAATATATGGCATGCCTATCATATGCATGCACCTTTTTTTGCCACCCACCCTGCCCCACACACTCGCTGTCTCTGTGGTATGTCCTTTTCAGCCCATCATAGTTTTCTTCCACCCCTGGTTTGCTTTTATTCTGAAAAGCATCAGTAAGAGCTAAACAAAATAAATTTCCAGTTTCCAATATTGTATTTTATGGAAAACATCCAGTTTACTGCAGAATTTATAATTGGATCAAAATTGGGTACAAATCTTAGCTTGCTAAATACTAAGAGTTACTAGTATTCAAGATTTTTTTTTCTTGCCTTTCAGTAAATTACGATTGTCCTATGAATCAATTTGTTCTCTGCCCTTGTTACATGTTTAGTGTGTCTTTGCAAGAAGCTGAGTAATTGGTTTTAAATCTGTATGCAGTTTTTGACATCACTGTCAGAATTTTCCATATACATACTATGGCAGAGTTTTTGGTTTGATAGCCTTACATCAGTTATTTCTGGTGCGAGAGTTAGCTGCTCCAATTTTCTGTTTAATTGATTAGTATTTGGCCTTACCACCACTCCCTGCCACCAGATTTCCAAGCCTTGTGCAGTAGGATGTGGGCCCAATCCTACATCTGCCTTCTAAACCAACCTGGCACTGCTCACATAACCCTCAAGCCCAAAACGTTGGGCATGTGTGTGCACATGTGCATACATGTGGGTCTCATGCTGTACACACATCTTGGTATAAATTAAATGTGCCACCAACTTCAATCTAGATAAATTTGTGATTCCTGGGGCACAATTTCTGGGAAATGCTGTTCTACGAAGTATTTTGAGGTAGTTCTCAATCTATCTTGTTCGAACTGTTTCCAATTGAATTTTGACAAGGCTAGTGAGAATTTCTGCCTATTACAGCTGGCCAGACTCCACTGAATGTTTAATTATATGCTTTATCAGGAGAAAATAAGCCCTACCCTAGAACCTAGTGGTTAGGACACACCTGTGGAGGCAGCAGACTGGGTTCATTTTTCTGCTACAAATCAGGCAGAGTGTGGGTTCCCCACATAACCAAGTTCAGTCTTAACCACTAGTGTATTTCCTTTCTGTTTTATGTGAAGCCTAATCTGGGAAGCATGTTCTGAAAACACCTACTAGATTCAGTCATACAGGCATGGCAAATAAAAACACTGCTTAGGATCCCTACAGTGTTAAGGCACTAAAAGCTTGCAACCTTCAAGCCTTAACTGACTGCTTGTATGCCCAGCAGCAGAAATGTAGGTACCCAGTGGCCATGTCTACATGTGTAATTCAGGCTTATTAAAGTGCACCCCCTGCCAGGAGCAAATTGTGCCTTACAGGACAGGCCAGTCCAGAGCTGCTTCAGCTCTACTTTCCTCCCCCTGCAGCAGTGAGGGAGAGCTCCCGGTTCCAGCCCTGTGGTTGGCAGGGGGCATGGGAGCTGGTCCCAATCCACTCATGGCTGGGAGAGCCATCCCTACTCAGTAGGGACAGTGCCGGCTAGCCATGTGGGAACACTCACTGGCATGCTAGCCAGCAGCATGCTAACTGATCGGCAGCTGATTGCCTGAACCTTCCAACCTGTCATGCTTTCCTTTTTTTTCTTTAACCTTACCAAAGGCTCTTGAGTTTGTGGAGGGAGCAGAATGGTGGTTGGGCAAAAGTGGGCTACATGGTGTTCTGCAAATGTTCTAAGCACACGTATGGATTTATGCAATGGATCCATGCCAGATTACTTGCAGAAAGGTGGTTTCTGTGGTAGGTAAACATATATTCATATGTGCACTTAATAAATCTATTTATAATATGCTTAGAGCATAAGGTTTTTACATCTTGCTTCTGAAATAGCTATTATTTTTGATGCTTAAAGAAGTTACTGCTTCACTTTTTATTTGCATAGACAAAAGGCTAGAGGCTGGCTGATATTCCCTGAAATATACTGCTGTGAAGGCTTTTCTGTTTAGAGGCCTTTGATGTAAAGATCAGAGGTGATTCTTTCTCTTCTGCATGCCTTGATGTTTAAGTGCTTCTGCTGTGATTCAACAAACACTGAATATGAGAAGTATTAATGTCTTCAGTATTACATGGTCATGTGAAAAATTGGTACAGGCTGAAAACAGTGATTTGCTACTTACAAATTGAGAATGGGCTTGTAAACACAAATTAATCTGGTAGCATCTTACAAGCAAATTTGGCTGTAACTTGTGGTTAAATTCATGACTTAAGTGTCAGTTATTTTAACTTATTAAAGATTCATATTGTCAAGATCTTTACTGACCTCAGACAAGTGCCACTGGATGACGTTCATACAGATTAAGATGCACAAATCTGTAGTAAATGAAAATTACAATAGCTCTATCCCACATCTGTATTAAGGACACCTTGGTAACTTGAGGGTAATTGATACCTTTCACAAGGCAAGTCAGCAGAATCATTACTGCAGGACCTATTTCAGTCTGTATTTCCTTTGAATCAGATCATCCAGTCATTGCAAGCAGGATGAAGCCACAGCCATTTGCATTCCTAACCAATTTGATCTGCTTCCAGTTGTTGGAGGACAGTCTTACTTTGGCCACTAGATCTGAGCAAATTCAAAGTAGTACTTTTTTTTTTTTTTTACTTCCTAAAAGTCCAAGTTTGGGGTCTAGAGCAAGTTGGGTTAAAACAGGAGCAGCTGCTTCAAGCATAGCACATCTAGGCAGGCTTCTGGCAACAAGAGGATTAGGTAAGTCGTTAGGAAAAGGTATACAAATGCCTCACTGCACTCACGAATACTGATCGGACAGCTCATCCCATGTAAGTTGTCCCTACCCAGTCCTTGTGACAGTTCAGCACTGCAGTCTGAACTCTTATGTGGCCCCTGCTCACTTAATAAGCTACCATGCCAAGAAGATTCCATGGAATGGAAGCATAAACAGGCCAGACATGGAAGAAAAAGCAGATAAGTATTTTCTTGGCTCACCCTCTACTGTGAAAAAGCAGGTGTAATGGATGCAATCGTAAGTCATCTCTTACTCTGCTATCTAAGGTACCCAGAAAGATAATGGCAATTCAGACTGAAGACCTCCTCTTACCCCACGTTAGGAGTGGCCTTAAAGTATCTGTAATATTCAAAAAGCCCAATAGGGCATCATCTTAGAAAAGTAACTTCAAGACTTAATTCTTCACTGGATAAGCACAGCAAGATCTGAAGCTCATCCAGGTGGCCTTTCTCTGGATGCAAGGTAATCCTCTATGAACATTGCAGCTGATCAGTTTCAGGGACTGTTGTAGGCACTGCTTGGCAAAACACTTGACTTGGTGCAGATGGACCTCTTCCAGCTACTTAGCAAATCCAGCAGCTTCAGCTAGGGCTGTCATTTCTCTATTGATCAATGAACAAGAATATAACTTCTCTCCTGTCTGTCTACTCCTATAGCTCAAAATAGTGACATGTATCCAAAAGAGAAGTGAGTAATATTAATGATACCAAATATAGATATTTAAAAAAAGTTTAATTCTTTTTTAACCTTAAATTCCTCAATAGCATCTTATGGTAATCAGTTCCCTACAGTAATTATGCATTGCATGAAAAAGCTTTAACTACCTTTTCCCTTAACTACCTTTTGCTTTTCCCACTGTTAGGTCTCACTGGAGTGAGATTTCACCCTGCCCCCCCTCAACAGAGTTTCTCTTCACTCCAGCAGTTTTTTTGCAGTATGTGGGAAGCAGGTGGTTTAATTTATTTGCTGCTAAGGCTGAGAGCTGGCTCTGAATGACTCATCTTGAGCTCCGGACTCCTCTCAAAGGTGGGGAGCTTGGGGATATGGTTGTCTCTGTGACACAAGTCAGATCTCTTCATGCATTATGATAAAGACCTCAGAGAAATGACTAGCCCCCATCATCTTCTATGACCTTCATATGTAAAATCTTTTATATGTTTTGCCTGCTGCAAGCTCTTTAGCCAGTTGTAGGAGTTATATGAGAACATGACAGGGAGGATGCTGCTGAAGATACCTATAATCTTCTACCTTAGCAAACCATCTTTTAGGCTAAGCACAGACATTTGGGGGCATTAGGGAACTTCAAGTCAGTTGAAAATGTCTGCCCAGTATCAGGTAAGTCAGGATGGGGTAGTGGAGGGTCAGCAGGCTGGAAGGGATGGGGGATGTACTGGGGGGTGTGCAGACATGACCTCTGACTGGGGCCAGCGGGAGCAGGGAGGCAGGCGCAGCCCACAGTGAACTCAAACTATCTGCAGCCCAGGCCTAGAGGTTAGGCCTGGCTTTTCCCTTTTGTTTCTTTTGATAGTCCTCTGCTCCAGCCAAACTGTGTGGTTGGATCAGATGTAGCCATTAATTAACTTGTTTTCTTTTGTAGTTTGTCCTGCAGATTTGTTTCAGCAGACCATATAATCCAGTCCAGTAGTTTTGGGGTGTGTGCATGCTGGCTGGAGCCACAGTCACTCCCCACATACACACTTAGCCTCTCTGCAAGAGCAAAGATCGGCATGCTACCACTTTGCCAGGAAAAATGGAGCCCCTTGTAAAG